TTAACAGTCATTTAACTTGGTAATTGATTCCAACCATATAGTGAAAATCCATGTCAATAGCGAAAAAGGGAAATTTTTATTGGTTTCTTTCTTATTTTTTGTTGATCTTTCAAGTAATTGTCATCAAACTTAACAATTTCTTTATAAATGTATCCTCTTTTACATCCCTTGTAGCACACTGACAAATTGAATTTCAAAAACTCCGAAATAATTGTGGTCTGAAGTTGGTCTTCATGTTGCCTGTTTTACCCCTTAATGTCCTCGGCTAACTTTGATTAAATAAATACAGACTACTTCTGTTATATCAGTAATTGCATTAATTCAAAATGTTTTTAATGAAAGTACTTTAAAGTAATTGAAGAAGATAGACTTTGTTACATCTAAACTTGATACTGTTTTTGCTCTATTCTAATGGAACACTTTTTCTGATCGACCAACTGGGTATGGCTGCTATTAAACTAAAAAATTAAATAATTTCCATTAAGTTTAGACACAAATATTTAAATAAATACCGTTTATAATAAACAGTATTAACAACATTTACCGGCCTGAACGTCAGAGAAATTTTCATAGAAAATATGTGTGTGATATATAAGTGGACATTGAAGTCAACACCCAAACGTCTGTTTCATGCTAAATGCAATAGTCAGGCCATGCGCATTGTATTTTTGCTCGACTATTTACATATACTGGTCAATGATGCATTGTGGGTAGTCTATTGTATTATTGTACTAGCAGCATGGCCCGGCATTGCCCGTGCTTGATTCAAAAATTGTATGACTCATACAGCAATCGCTATCACTTGACTTAAAATATTTTTGCCCTTCCTTTCCTTTAAAGGAGTGCCCTTTGCTGTGCTGATGTTGCTACATGACTTACTTCTTGCCTATCTGACACTGTGAATTTTTTATAAGCTCTGTACTAAACATTAAATCTGTTACGAAAAAAGAACTAAACAAAATGAACACAAAATGATCAGGTTTAAAAAAAGGAAAGTAACTGGAAAAACTGAATGAAAAAAAGAATGTTAACAACAAATACTTTTTCACACCCAACCCAGTTCTGTGGAATCAGAATCAACGTTGAGTATAAGCAAGCAAATGAGCCAATTGGAGTAAAGTGCCATGCAGATTTAAATTTTTCCCACTTGTGACGAATGCAGCTATCGATTTTTTTTCATGCTAGCATGCTAGTTAACATTCGTGTCAGTCAGCTGTTGGCTCTCATGTTGGCCAATAGAATCTTCCTGCCTATTCGTGGCAGCCAGCTATAGGCTCTCACTCTGGCCAGTACAAAATGGCCACAAACTACATGAAAACTGCTGTAGAAGCATGAAAAAAATCGATTATTTCCACTATCGATGGGAGTTGGGAAATGCAAAGTCGGTCTTGGCCTTCCCACTAACTTGGAGCATGTGCATGTAAATTTTGGTGCAAATCTGTCAAAAATTGCGGCCGTGCATTCGTTACACGCACACACACACACACACCCACCCTGCCTTTTATAGATAGGGATTATTCTAACAGTTATTTAGGTGGATCATAACAATTGTGTTTTGGATTATTCTAGGGGCTTTTGAGTGAAAATAATTGTGGATCCGAATGCAGTTTTTTGGCTATTTACATTGTTGTCTGTTAACATTTTTTATTTTATTATTAATTATTTTATTATTGGTTGTTATTACTGTGTTTTCTTGTGTCTATGTGTGTGTACATGGTTTGTTAATTTGTTTATTATATACTTAGTTTATTTGTTTGGATTAATTTATTTTACTTATTTTTCTTTCTTTATTTTGTTTATTCTTGTTAGTTTTCAGTTTTCGATTTTTAAGTAATGTAGTAAAAATTTGTTTTTGTGCCTGCATTTTTACTCATATATATATATATGTGTGTGTGTGTGAGAGAGAGAAAGGTGCAGGAGGAAGTGGTGTAGAAAAAGTTAGGCTTACTTGCTGGATATCAAAAGATACTGAGTAAAAGTTTGAAAATCAGGTTGGGATAGAAAGGCTAAAAATCATAATACATTAAAATTCTTTAGAGGAAGAACAGCGATACAAAAAGATGATAGAGTAGAAAATAGTTATGCATTCCTTATTCTTTTTTGTGTATGAAATAATCTGTTTGTATAACATTTAGATAAATACATGAACTAGCAACAAAGATTATAAGGGAGAAGGGAGAGAATGAAAAGCTACAGACAAAAGATGAAAGAACGACAGAGGTACGAGGCCATGGATAACTTTAGTCATCAATATGTCATAGAATACCCATAGGTTCAAATAGTACTTAATTATTTGAGTGTATAAAAGAAAATTTATTTCCCTGTGAATCAAACTGTTACTTGAGATCAGTTTTGGATGACCACATTGCCTAAAAGAAAAATTCTTTTGATTTATTAGATGCAAATAATTTAAACCAAAAAGGTTTTTTTTTCACAAAATGAACCCAGTTAAATAATAATCTTTTTTATTACCTTTGAGATTGATATGATAACAATGTTGTAGGACCCTTAGTGGTGAGAAGGAAAAAAACAAAATATCACCATGCAATGAAAAGAGCAGAGAATAACCTGCTTAAAAATAATACCTTATTTCTGACAAAAGAAAAGCTTATCATTTATCAAAGATTTTATTGTTTATGCTGGTGCTAGAGAGGAGGTTGAGGGTGAAAAATCAAAAACTTACATTGAAAACAAAATTCAACAGTTACTCTGTTTTCATCTTTTTTCTAGGGAGATCACCATCAAGGAGTTATACTTTTGTGGGTAATATCATGTTTTGTCATTTTTGGTTTTCCATGAGATACTTGTAAATTTCATCTGGTTTTCATAATCATTCAGTAAAGAACTGAATTATACTGAATCTTGCTAATAGATAATTTCTGTCTGAATTTCTGAGATGAGGAGTTATTATTTACACTACACACTAACATAATATAAGAGCTACTCTACTTTTGGAACGTTTTTTTAATGACAAAATTTATATTTTTCTTTCAGCAGACATCAATCTTGGCATAATCAAAGTCAATTATGGATGACAAAGAGTGACATTAAAACACTGTAAAACTTGCTTAACTTAAAGTATGCAATAGTATTTTTTATAACTAATTTCAAACTATATTCTTGCAGTTAAAACCAAAATTAAACCATAAATTATATTTTTAAATATTTATAAAATAATCAAATAATTTCTACAATCTGTAATGTTTTGGGAATCTACCTATTTAAGATTTCCCAACATATAAATTATATCAATGTCTATGGAAATTAAAAGAAAGTATATAATGAAAACAAACTGACTGCACTTGATATTTTTGATCGATACAATAAGACTTCATCCATCAGTGACGAGCCATATAGCTTGTGTAGCGCAGCAATGGTGCAAAGACAATTTGCTTCCCTCATCACCAGATATCAATGTTCTTGAACATTATTTGTTGGCAGTTCTTGAGAGTGGGGCCTGTTCTACTCTTCACCACAATATTGAAGCTCTGAAGGCAAAACTAAAGAGACTACAAGACAAAATACCCATGAAAACTGTGCATGCTACCATAAGTGACTTTCCTGAAAGACTTTGACATGGTGAAGGTTAAAAGGAACCATACTGAATGAGATTTTCTAGAGTTATTAATACTTACTTTACATTAAAATTGTATGCTGATATAATAAAATTTTCAGGAGATGAGCTTTTAAGAGTATATTCATGTCATGCCCTGTACATATATGTATACAAAAAATAATAAAAAGTCCCTGATTTAAAATCTTACATTACCAAATGGCTTTAATTCTGATACTGAATAAACAAACAAGCACAAAGGCAGACTCTTTTCAAATTTGAGGTCAGGAGGTGATAAGCTAGGGTAATTAATTTGATTTGTGATACCCACTTATACTCAGAGATCCCAAGAGATTTTTCTCACACAAAGTTTTGTTTTTCTTTTAGTCAAACTGAAGAAGCCAAAGAGAAAATATGCTTTCTCCTCTCTGGTGAAATACGTCTTTGATAAAAATTTTCCTTTTGTCTCACCATCTTTACCTTTGTTTCAGATACTATTGTACATTGTACAAACACACATGCACATATATAGTCATATATCACACACACAGTGGGGTTTAATAAGTGATCGTACAGCAAATAAATGCTTGTTATTCTCACTTATAGCAAATGAAAACCTTGAATAACAATGTTATATATCTATTTTGAGGCAGAGAATCAGAATCTGCAATTTAAAAATAGAAATTCATTGATAAGTGATAATTATGCAAATTTTTATATTTCAAATAATGGAAAAAGTGTTTGTACAGTTGTCGACATGGAAAACAAAAAACAAACTCTTAGTATAAAGGATGTTACCATTATCCAGAAAGAAGCTTATGAAGGAGTGTCTTTCTTTTTTTTTTTTTTTTAATTTTGGATTTAATATAACTATAACAAAACATTTGGATTCATTGTTTGCCTTGATAAAGTCTGAAGACAAAACGTGTTGGTAAAAACTAAGATTTTTTTCCAATTGTCATTATTATACCACACACACACACACACAACACAAATATAAAGTTTGTTACTTAGCTGATTGGTGTTACCTTCAACATCCCAACTTCAGAGTTTTGTAGAATGCCCCTCCAGCAATCACTCCGTCCACTCATCAGGGGTTATCAGCAATTGACTGTTTATCTTTTCTCATTTTTTTCTTTAATATATGCACTTTTCATTGAGAAGTTGACTTGGTATATTAGGTCATTTAACCAGTCCTCAAAGTTAATCTACACACTGACTCACAGATTCTTTTTCTTTTTACTATTTTCTGTGATTGTAAAGAAATGATATTGATGCTGCGAAAATGTTTTATGAACATCTTGGCAATGCAAGATAGATTTTAAAAAGTTCATATACCAACATATTTATTTTTATCTCTTTTAAAAAGAAAGGAAGCAAGCAAAAGAAAAAAGATACCTGGTACAGCAACAGAGAAATGTGAAGAATAATTAAAGTCAGGCAACTTTTAACATGAGGTATCTGGCCTGTTAATTTTATCATTCTTTATTGTGTCAGTTATGATGCTGCACTTTTTTGTGTGAAGAAGATAGTCTTTCTCTCTGGAATCATTCACTGTCCACAACACCAAGTGAAGGCCACGGTTTTTCCAGAAGGTATGAGAGTTGCTGAAATGATAAAACAATAACTTGAATCAACCAAATATAACTGAAAAGAAAAACAAGATCACTTGGAGACAATGGACAGAGAAATATTTTGGCAAGATATATTAAACTCTTTTTTATTGCATGGATAATGTGATGGCTTATTTAAACAAAACATTTTGACAAGATATATCTGACTCTCTTATTAATTGCATAAAAAGTGTAGTAGCTTCAGCTTAAATAAAATTTTATCATTTCTCAAGACTGTCCAAAATTTTAAATTGAAACATGTCAGGCTTATGTTGATACAAAGTTTGTTTGTTGTTTTTTTCTTTTTTTTTTTTAATTCAAACAAATTTATGTTCCTATAAATTACAAATGAGATTTAAATCAATTTTCTGATTGCTTACTGGTAAGTGTGTGTGTGTGTGTGTGTGTATATATATATATATATATATGAGAGAGAGAAGGGGGTCATAAGAAATGACATGGTGACTATCAGTTTTATACCTCAAGTTATCTCCTGACCATGCTCTATCTCTGAGTATATATATTAAAAAAGTCACACTACCTTGGTATCAACCTTTTGGTATCCTCAGGTGATATAGGTCAAAATATTGATTTTGGCTTATATTGAAAGCAAGGTAGCGTGATTGGATGGTCACCTGATTTTTTAAATTTAAAAGCTCTGCATGTTTTTTTTTTTTATATGTGTACTGAGAACACTTTAATACAACTGTTTCCTGGTCTAATTCAACTCTGACCAATAACTATTTTATAATTGTTTTATATATATATATATATATATATATATAGCTATCTATTTTGAAACTAGAGTCTCTAATCATTTGTAATATACGTTATACAAATTAAAATTTAATGAAATTGCCACATTGGTAGATCTTCAAGTCTTTATTGTTGTAAGTATCGAATTGATCAGATGATAAAAATAGAATATCTAAATGTGAAAAAACTTTAAAAGGAACCATTTCAGGTAAAATGAAAAATTATTAATTCTTGACCAGCATTTGTTTCATCTTATTTTCACATTTTCCATATGACTGGATATACCACCACCTTTGATATATATTAGTAGTATTAGTAGCAATATAATTTTAAATTTCTTAGATGAAGCATTGTTAATTATTATTTAAAGATTAGTATTTCTTTTTCATCATAATTTCATTAGTCCAACAGATTTTTTTCATTAGGAGCGCAAAGTTGATTATTTCTTTTGTAGAATAAAACAGAAGAAAAATAATTCTAATAAAATCAATTTATATTTAGTTTTCTTAGTCTTTTATAATAATATGAACATGTTATAAAATAAGCTGGTGGACACTTCATAAATTTTAAAAGGCTGTTATGCATCTGAAGAACTAATTAGGCAAAATAGATGTTAATTACCTCATTAATTGTACATGAAACAATGAATTTCTAGGATGAGGAGTTATTAGCTACATTATTTATTTTGGACTATTGTTCTCATCTTTGTTGTTTTTATCACAAACATTTTGGCCATTTCCATACACATCTGATGAAGGCAGATCATAATGGCTGAAACGTGATAGCAACAAAAATGAGGACAATAGTCCAAATGTAAATAGTGTAAGTAATGGAACAATGAAATGAAAAATTCTGTTGGATTTAACTCACAAGACACACAGGAGTAGTCCTATCTCAAGCAATGATGGTTTTGACAATTGTTGTATGGGAACTCTGCCAGTTCAGGCAGGTTCAGATATTTATTTTTAATACTATTTAGCAATATAGAAATGGGTTAGTTTGATCCCAAAATAGCTTAAGACAATGACCTGGAACAATGACCACTTATCTTGTCTCAAGATGTTTCCTGGTTTATGACTGCAAGGCCTTATGTGATAAGGTATGTCATCCACCATAATCAGTGTACATTTCAACACTTGCTTTGTACTTATCCTGTGACACCCTGTCATTTAGGGAAGGAGAACTTGAAGTTCAGCTTTGTTAGTTTATGGCTGTGATTTTAGGGGAAAAAAAGTAATGAAAAAAGTCATCAGATATTGTTTGTTAGGGTAAGAAAAAAAAAAAGTCATAGGAAATAAAATCATAAACTTTGAATTGTGGTTAGGAAAAGAATTTATAGCAAAAAAAAAAAAAAAAAAAAAAAAAAAAAACATTTAAAATAGATAATAAAATATTACTTAAGCGGTTATAGCCATAAAAAAAACAATTTTTATATCAGATTATTCATATAACAACATAATAAAAATACTCATATTTCTGCTTACCTTAAAGTAAAATATAGTATGTTATTTACAGTTAAATATAAAATATAGTTCAACTTTAATGGAAAACATTAACAACTACCAGGCTTATATGTAAAGGTCAGTTGTGACCACAGAGTGAAGTACCCAGTAAATTTTTTAACTACATTGCCGGTTCATGCTGAAAATAACAGGTTTATATAACGCAAATTTCAATATAAAAGAAAGAATATTTATAGTTAAGTAAAAAAGGCAACATCTTAAGGCGACATTCAATGAACAAATGACCGAAAAAGAGGTAAAGTGCCTGCAAAAAAGAAAAAAAAAAGTGTGTCAAAAGGATGTTTTTTTTTTCCTCTTGGCATTGCTAATGCTGTTTACTCCTATGGAAGTTTTTATTATTTTAAAAAGTTATTTTTTGAATTTTTATAATGTCCAAACATAAAACTGGATTTTTTTTTCATTCTTTTTTTTTTTTATAGAGAATTTACAACAAAAGTATTAACTACTTTTCTTGTAATTAAAGAATAAAAAAAATAGTGTTTAACATTTTTGTTATCATTTCTCGAAAACAAAAAGTATAAATTCAGACCATATATGGCAGCCAGTATTCCATGCAAGAGCGAATGGTTGATTTATAGATTTGCAGGATGGACTTGGGTGAGAAAAACACCTCCCTTACTTTAACTAACTTCACTCCTCGGAAATGTTTGTTTTAAAAAGTGATGCTTAGAATTGTAGTAAAACCTAAACATATGATGAAAGTAAATTTATACATTTTTTTTTGTTCTTGAGAATTTACAACAAAAATAATAAGCACTATTTAGACAATGGCAGACCTGCATATTTGGAATACTGAAGCTTTAACAGATATGGAGGCCCCTTCACAATCAGCAACAATAGATTCAAGGATCCAACTCCCAAAATGTAGGCTATGAATAGACTCTGATGAGTTCTACAAGTCCATTCAGGCACTGCAAGCCTCCAAGAAAATTTTGAGATTTAACCAATTACAGGGGAATTTTGTAGCCATATGAAATGTGTATTACAACATATTCTAAGGCCAACATTAGCAACTTCATCTGATTGGCTTATGATTCTGTCACTAAAATTTAGAATTTAGCTTTAAGTTATCAAAGGTCGCCAATATGGTTAGCAGCAAGAATATTTAAAATTTCCAGTACCTCCTTGTCTTGGTAGTTTTTTTTTTTTTTTTGTATTTTGTTAAAATAAAACCCTGTAAAAATTACTTCAGTTGGTAAAAAATTTGTTGATTAGCTCATTGTTCATATAAGAATGTGTCTACCTGAAAATATTTGAATAAGCAAGTACCTTTCTTGATAATCACAGAGGGCACACCAGTAGAACCATTGTCAATTTTCTCTCCTGAATCACTTTACTAAAACATTCTTTTGGAAGCACATGGGTAAAATTTGAATTTTTCAGAAAAATGATGAGACCACTTAAAAGGCTATTCCCTGTCTACTACTTGAACAATTTCTATTTGTTATATACATTTAAAATGTATTTAAGTTAACAACTGAATAAAGTATTTTATTTCATGAACCTTTGGGTAACAGCTGCTCCCCTACCAATATCAAATGTTACCAGACTTTGTATGATAGGCTGAATGTTTGTTTTTTTTTTTTTTAAACTGTAATTGTTTTTATTGAAGATCTTTTTATTTATTTATTGTGTTGGCCAAAAAGTTTGCTCGGTTTATTAAGTAAATTTTCTACTTAATAAGTCCAGTTCATATTCCTCCCCAGTATTTTGAACAGGAGTAGGGGTTTATCCCTTGTTAAGATGGACTTTCTGATTCATTTTTGAACATTATCTGTTCATATTGAAAGACAACTGGATGGAACATATACGAATCTACTTAGAAAACTCCAGAACATCAGTTGGAAATCAGATGCAATGCTTAACACAATTTATGGAGAACTGAAACCAATCTCTCTTAAGGTCAAACAATTACAATTACAATTTTCCGGCCACTGCCACTGAACGGAAAGGGAAATCATATCATCCTTACTCCTATGACATCCTTTTGGTAGTGTCTTCTCACAAAAATTGACTTTCCCCCAGACACTATAGCTCGAGACTCAGGGTTGGACATTGGGGATCTGGGGACAGCATTACAAGACCAAACAGTGTGGAAAGGGATTGTCAATGGAGTTCCAACCAACCATAGGGAGGTTAAAAGATGATGATCTTATTCGTTTTCACTCCCAGTAACCCCTTGCATCTTAGTAGAATTATTGCCTTGCTTGGGGTGAATTGATTTAAAAAAAAAAAAAAAAAAAAAAAAAAAAAAAAAAAAAAAAAAAAAAGTGGGGGTGGGCACCCAAACTTTTTGGTCAACCCAATACTTACTAATATAATCATTCTACAATTTTAAATACAGGGTGTTCTGGTTAAATTTAACAAAGACTAATGTTTTTATTTTTTCCTCTTGGCTTGGTATATCTGTAAACCATGAACAGCATTGGAGTACCTGGTCACTACAGTTTTAAATGTATCAAAGTTAACTGACTTGGATGAGTGGAAGCCACCTGAATATTGGAAAAGTGTGACCTATATTACGATTCATGCCACACATCAAAATTCCACTCATGACAGCTGCTCAACGCTCTTTGAACACCATGAAAACAATAAGATGTGACATAAGGTGCTGCAACAGAGGCCACGGAGCCAGGGCTTGTAGGAAAGAACAGCAGATGTTCTGATTGTCTCTGTACAACAACTGTAGGGGAAAATGATGGATGACCCAGGCAA